GCTCAACTCTCTGGGGTTAGAGTCAAAGGTAGCTATAAAGCTGTTGGGTCATATGTTTGGCTGTTAAGTGAGGTTGAAAGTGACTTCCTAATTTCCATTGAAACTTACCTATGAAGGAAATTAGTTTTCACCCAGTGACCACAAGTTATGTTTCCTAAAATGCAAAAGTTAAGACAGCATAATCCTCTTTTATATAATAAATGCATGGAAATACATTCTTGTCCCCTTGAGCTATTCATATTTTAACAAAATAATATGCACACTTCAATGTGAGATGGTTTTTGATAACACATTACATTGTATTAAATACCTGCATTCTCACAACAGCACACTCCAAATCAGGTCCTTTGGACTGTGGTGAATGATGTACAGCTCAGTGCAGGGCTTTCAGGGCAGTGAAGTGAAAATATGACTCACTTTGGAGTCAGACAGATTTGATTCCCAGCTCTAGCCCCTATTACTTTATAAACTCGGGTGAGTCTTTGTAACTCTAAACCTATTTTCTCATATACAATGTGTGGATAATAATTCCTAACACGTAGGGCTGCTGTGAGCACTAACTCAGGTGACTATGTAAAGTACCTGGCACACAGTAGGTGCTCAGAAATGTTCATTTCTTTCTAAATAATTAAACCTGACTCAATGCATAAGGCACACTACTTGTTTATTTTCTTTTATTCTTAAGATGATGCCATGCTTTTTCCTTTTTCTTTAACTCAGTGAAATTTTTGTCATTTCTGTCATTGGTTAATTCTTTATATCAGTCATACTCTTCAGTTGTTATCTGGGTTTTCAGGACAGTATTATCAATAAAGTTTGTGCAAATCAGGCATTCAAATGGGTGTTTGTACATCTTTGTAGGGTGCAGTGTGGTTTTTTTAAGCAGTATATCTTGTATAATAATGAAATCAAAGATAAATTTATCCTCTTCAACATTTAACATTACATTATGTTGTGCACATTTTATATTCACATCCTTTGGGGTTTATTTTTTGGGGGGGCAGGCAGATGTACACATTGAATTGTCAATGATACTTTTTACTGTTTTTATATACTCTTCATAACTTATTCTACTTGTTTATATGAATTCTTATGTCTGTTAATCATATTCTGCTCAGTCCACCCACCTACTGGTCACACAGCTTCTAGTATCTATGGTTACTGTCTCAACCCATGTTGATTTTTTTTCAGTTAATTAGATTTGTCTTTATACCTATATTGTTTTAATTCAATTTTAATTGAAATACTTCCAGGCTTTTTAGGACTCTCAGATGCAAAGACTCAGGATGATTCTCTTTTTCTCTTAGTTTATCAGAGTCTAATGATTAGGGTTTATTCCTCATTGGTTTGTTTTAGTTTAGAAAAGAAACAGATTATCACACGAAAACTAGATTACTTTTATTCAAAAGGGTGGACAACTAGTGAATGTTAAAGTAGCTAGAATAGTTACTCTTTAAGTAAGATGATTAATGTGCATGTAAAACAATCTGTAAGTTATGTTGTGGTTTAATTTATGTTGACATTGAAAAGGTTTTCGTTGTTGCTGTTTATCTTTTTTTAGTTGTCACAAGGTATGTATACTATCGAGAAAGGAGAGATGGGAGAAAGCACCTCCCAGTGGGATATGATCATGCCTAATTTCCTTCTTCTCCATTTCTCCTTCCTGTAGGGATTTTGGGCAGCACAAAGGCGGATATACCCAGTATATTTTGTTTGGAGAGTTTTTCTTTTCTATTCTTTTCTTTCTTTCTTTCTTTTTTTTTTTTTTTTTTTTTGCTATAAGGCACATGTGCTCACCAGAAAGATAGAGAGAGACAGAAAGCGAGAAATCACCTCCCAGGGGGGATGGCCACATCGCAATCCCTTCTTAATCCCTTCTTGGGCATGCACACACAAACACCCGGCATGAGTTTAAGCCACCAGGTCCAGGACTCGAACCACGGTCGACTACATGGGAGTCCAGCGACATAGCCATTATGCTAACTGCTGGTCCCCCCCAGTATCTTTTTAATACCATTGGAGCTGAATGTCGAACCATATGGTTGACCATGTGGGATCCAGCTCTCTTAACTACCAGGCTACAGGGGCCTGCTCTTTTTTTCATTTTTAACCATGCACAGAAATAGGGAGCAACTGTCATCACAGCAAAGAGAAATTGGAGCTTGATACAGACATTTAAGCATGGATGCTTAAATCTAGATCAGACAATCACAGAAATCATAAAACCTCTTGAGTAAATATAAAATAATATGAAATTTATGCTTTTGTTTTCAAAAAATTTCACACAAATTCTTATACAATTATAACAACAAAGCTATGATGTGGTTATGACTTTCCCCATCTTAAAGTGTAGAAACCAAGGAGTGAAATGCACTGGTTTGCTTACTGGATACAGATTTGACTAGAGATTTTAATTCTATATCTAAATCCAACTAGGAGATTGAGGGGCTTTGAGGAGATGGCAGTTTGAACACACCCTGGCTTCTCTGCAGTTCAGTTCTAGCCCACCTGGGTTCATTAATGTAGCTTCTAGGGCTGGAGAGCAGATGTCTTTGTCCCTTGCTTCTTGGTAGTGAGTAGTTGGGAGAAGCTTCATCTACCTGGCAGCTGTGACAAATGCACAATCTCAGCCCCACTCCAACATATAAATCAGAACCTACATTATGATGATAACCCCCACAAAACTGGTTTAAAATTAAAGTGTTAGAAGCCAGCCTTAGATAATGAAACTTGGGTTACAGATTTGGAAAGCCTGGGGAAGCCATAGGATACCCCAGGACAAAGAATAGAAGCTTGCTCATATGAGAAAGCCTCACTCTGGAGATTCTTGAGATCAAGGAGATCTTGGTCCCCAGGGATAAAGGAGAAACTACAAAGATGAACTGGTTCTTACCTACCTTGTGTTTCTCTCTTTCTTTCTTTTCTTTATGTTTATTTATTTCTTTCGGGAGGGTAAGACAATCTCCCTCAATAGGGTATCATACCATGATCTTCCCCAAGGCTTCTCAGCCAGCCAGGATCTTGTGCATTCCTCGTGTGTACAGCTGGGCCACGAAACTGAACTTTGATCTTCCAGCATCGCTGAATGGTACACTATTTATGTACCACTACGGAGTGTCGTTAGAACTTGAAATGACAAGGATGAGGAAGACAAACCCCTGATATTTTGGCAGGGAGCTCACACACTAGCTTTTTCCCTCTGTTGGTTCACCAAGGTAGACACCACATTACCTTCCACCATTTGTGGTGTTCCCACCACCTACGATATTCCAACATCTGAGCATGAGCCCAAGAGCAGTCAAGGAAAGGGATTTGCCTGAACGATTCTGAACTTCCATCTAAGGAAGTCCAGCAGGCAGAAACACTCGAAACAACCCCAGAATGAAAAATAGAGATGAGGTGTTCCTTTCTTGGTCAAGGAGACCACGGCACTGTACCTGAATGCACATACCTCTCAGGCAGGGGACTGTCTGTAGCAGGAGCTGCCCCTGCTTTTTGCACTGCTTCCCTGGCACTTAAACAGCTGATGCTCCTCTTCATGCAGCTCAGCTGTGACAGGGCTCTCATGTTGTTGCTGAACCTTCTGCAAGTTGGGTCTCTCTTAAGATATTTTGAAGTCATGTGCATCTATTCAGTCAAACCACATGGAAGAGCCTTGGTATCAACAAGAAGCAGCAACTGCTAACAAATGGTTTTTCACAGGAGTTTGAGAAGGAGGTGGGCCAAGCAGAAAGTAAGCTGTTTACCCACCAGTCTGCCTTCAGCCCCGCATCAGTGATCTAGACTTTCCTGGGCTCTGACCAACAGCTGAATCTGCAGCTGTATATAAGCTTCTTGCCCCAGAACTTCACTCAGAAGAAGTATATCCTCTCCTACTCTCTGTGGACAAAGTGATGAATAAGGTAGACAAGCTTCTATCATCTTGGATTAAATAGGCAAGAATGAAATGAGTATTAATAATTTATGATGTACTTATTTTATTTCCAAAATCTTGCAAAGCCAAGGTTAAGGAGTCTATGTGAGGATGCACTGGGGGAATCTAACTGAATCTGGGAGATAAGGCTAAGATTTCTAGAACTTAAGGTTAAACTGATACTAGCAGGTGAAGAGGAGAGGCCAGGTGAATAAAAGCATCCCGGATTTCAAGCTCTATCCCAGAAGCAATGGGAAGGCACTGATGAGTGTAAAGAAACACACTGTGATGTGTCAGATTTCGTTTTGAAAACTGATTATTTTGGAAAATGGGTTGGAATGGAGTGAGGGGAAAAACAGTGAAGCAAGAAAGTGTGCTGCTCCAGTGGCCAAGGTGAGGATGGTAATGCCTGGGACTAAAATCACCAGAGTGGATTACTGGAACAGTGTCAGGGATGTAAAGGTGAGGCAGAGGGAGAGGTCAGGAATGATTCCCGGGTTCCTGACATAGGCAGTTACAGTCATATGTCCCCATATGTGTTGGTAGAGCATTCTGGAAAAGGAACAGATTTGTGGAGTGTCTTTGCTTTCAGCTTAATACTTTTAAAAAATGAACACATTGTATTAATTTAACTCATGAGAGAACAACCAGATGTTAAAATCAACTCCAAAGAGAATCAAAGGACAGACATAAGAATACTGACTAGAGATATTAAAATAAATGTGGAAATGGAGATAAAACTGACTTTATTACAGCATAGGGGATGGAATTTCTGTTGTACATGACATCCAGTATATCTATCAGTAATGTGAAACTAACAGAGGAATGCAAATGAACTCACAAGGAATGCAAAGCTAGGATCAAAGAAAATGGAGTGTTGTCCTGAAGACAGGACAATGTGTCCCTTCCAATTCCTTTTTTTTTGGGGGGGGGGGGGGGGGGTGTGAGAATGTTGAAGTAGAAAGTTAGAGCTTTCTCAAAAAGAGGGCCCAGTCATTAGGGTGACCAGATTTCTAGGCTTAGGCCTGATCAGAGGACAGTGGGCACCAATGACATCACAAAGCCAAGGTTGTCACAAAGGCGACTCTCTGAAAGTGAGGGGCCAGAGTGCAGGGATACAGTAGGTGTAAGCACTGGTATCCTCAGAGGCTCTTGCCAGTGAGAAAATCAAACTGGGCCATCTGGGGCAAAACCCAGCAAATATCATGGCTGGCAAAAAACGCAGTGGAGGATTCTATAGGCGCAGGAGGCGAGCCATCACCCGCTCCAGACGAGCAGAGCTCCAGTTCCCTGTCAGCCGCGTGGACCGTTTCCTGAGAGAAGGTCAGTATGCCAAGCGCCTGAGCTCATCCACTCCTGTTTTCCTTGCTGGAGTTTTGGAATACCTGACGGCCAACATCCTGGATCTGGCGGGCAAAGAGGCGCATAACAACCACAGAAAGCGCATCACCCCAGAACATGTGGAGAAGGCCGTGGACAACAACATCCAACTCAGCTGCCTCTTCGAGGACGTTGCCAACTCTCGGGTGGATAAGATGCCCCATCCCAAGAAGAACTAGTGATGCCTGAGTCTCTAAGCCTGGAGGGATCTCATCTGCAGCTTCATCCAGCCCTCAAGACTCCCATAGCTGAGGTCCCCTGCTGTTGCAAATGGCGACACTTGTCATTAAAGGATTTAAATCCTTAGAAAAAATAGAGATGAGTGTGTTTTCAACTATACTAAATATTTGAGCAAAGAAATAGCAAGCTGAAAAAGTAACAAAGAAAATGTATTAGTATTTTAAAAGATAAGTATCATGTTAAGTTTCTAATGTGAGCAATAAGTATTTTGAGCATATTAAGAACTTATGAACCCAAGACCATCTGGTGGGGTGGTGGTTGAGGTACTGGACTCCCACATGGCTGACTGGGTTGGAGTCTTGGACCTGGGGACTTACTTTCTTACTTTCTATTTGTCTCTCTCTCTTTCTGTCTCTGCTGAGTGTGTACCCTGAAGGAAATTTAAAAAAAAATGATGATAAATAAAATTTAATAAATAAATCTTTTAAAAAATAATGTAGTAACTGATTTCCATAAAATCCATAAGATAAATTTTAAAAATCTAACATCTTCATCATAAATGATAATCCCCCTTTAAGACTTTGTCTCATGTATTAATGGTTCTATGGTAAAGTTGTCATTTTTAGTAATTGTTATTACATATATGAATGAATCTCTGGATACATCTGTGTTAGTAGTTACTATCCATTTACTACCCAGCCAATCTAACTCTAAATATGAGTTAACATCTAGTGATACTATTCCACATTGACATATATCGGTTGAACCAAAGACATGGTTCCAAATCGTGTGATACTTTATTTAATTCTCCAATTCTTCCAGTGTCTGGGGTCTTCTGAGTCTCTTTTCTCACCAGGCTCAGAGCAGTATCCAAGCCCCACAAGTTGGCCAACAAAATATATGATCTATCCCTATTTGTTCTCTTCTAAGATAAAAACTCATAATCTTGTTTAAAATAAATCAATGAATAATACTGATGTACTGTATTTCTTTTCCCTTGAAGTATATCTATTCCAATAGATTTTATTCATTGAACCTAAAACTGTTCTTGAACATTCAGCACCATTTAGGATCAGTGGAAACGGTGTTTGGAATCAGATCTTTCTCTCTGTTCTCATCATAAACGTGGTTATTTCCTTTTTTACAGATACAGGAAATTCTGACAAAGCAAGATCTTTTGATTTCCTATTTCACCCAGAACTTGGATCTAACTAAGTAACTTTGTAATAATATCTGACATCAGATATTCTTGCTTTTTAAAAATGTCCAAATTGGGACCAGTAGATTGCGTAATGGTTACATGGCCGGACTCCCACATAGTCAACCATGGTTCGAGTCCCAGACTTGGTGGCTTAAAATTCACTCCAGGCATATGTGAGTGAATGCCCAAAATCCCGAGTGGAAAATGGAGGAAAGGGATTGTGACATGGCCATCCCCCCTGGGGGGTGAATTCTCATTTTCTGTTTCTCACTGTCTTTCCAGTGAGCACACGCACCCTATAGCAAAATCTTCTCCACGTACCGTAAACCAAAATATTCATCCCCCCAAAAAAAAAAAAAAAAAAAAAAAAAGTCCAAATCAAGTTTACACAAGAAAGTAAAGTAAGCAAAATACAATCATCTCACAGAATTGAGAAAATTTATTATAATGGCTTTGTGATTGCTGCTATCAGTGTGATAATCTTGGAGAAAATCACAGATAAAAACAACTTCTGGGGGCCAGTGGGTGGGATAGTGGTTAAGGCACGGGATTCCCATATGACCAATCACAGTTCAAGTCTCAGACCTGGTGGCTTGAAAATCACACTGAGCATGTGGGTGTGCATGCCCAAAATCCTGAGAGGAGAATGGAGGAGAAGAGATTATGATTTGGCCATTCCCCTGGGTGAGTGGTGGGGGAGGGACAGAGATAATTTCTCATTTTCCTCTTCTCTGTCTTTGTCTCTCTCTAGCAAGTCCATGTACCCTATGGTACAAATCTTTAAGGAAAAAAAGGACAAAGAATGTATCAATGTCTTTGTTTAAAAAAAATTACTTTCTAATTTTTTTATAATTTTGCAAAGATTTTGCTTTCTTCTTAATTATTAGACCCACATTATTCTACATGTTATTATTTTAAATAAGAACATAAAAATATTAATTTATTTGGGTTTTATCATTTTAATTCAATGGCTTTTGAAGCATAAGTTTTAATCTATAACTGCAAGGTCACTGATATTAACTCCTTGTCCCATCATTAAAAATTATAAAATTGAATCCGTTTCCAGTACAATCTATCTTCTTAAAGTTTTTCCTCCACAATCTCTACAATATTGCATCAGAAATGTACTGCTGTTTCACATAGAAAGGGATAAATCTGTGCAAATGTGAATGATGTCTCCTGAATGCCAATCACTTGGAAATGGGATTTCACCCTCATAAATATTTTGTCTCAAACAGAAGGAAGAAAAAAACTTACACCCTATTTTTTTTAATTTTTATTTTTATTATCATCATAATCTTTGTATTACATTAAATTACATATAACTTTACAGTTTATTACATAGCTTTTCACCCTCTTCACACTTTATTTAACTTGATTCCTACAACCTGTTCCTAAAAGTAAAAAGACCTATAAGAGCATGTAAAACCAAAGCATCAAAGTACAAAAATAAAATTATACTGAGAAATTCTATTCTGCCATTGCACAAGTACTTTAATTTCTTTAAATATAAGAGGCGTTTAGTCTGTGAGTGGAATAAGTAAAATCCTCCCACTAGAAGAGAAATAAAGTTAAAATAAGCCCACTGTTTTTTTTCCTGTGCTTTTCCTTCACTATCAACATGCAAACTGCCTTTGTCGGAACTAGAACATGATACACCAAGATTTAGAACCTTGGCTTTAGACCTTCCAAACAAAGGATGTTGGAAGGGCCTCGAAAACAAGTTTTCTCTGATCTTCTCTTGCCCTCCTTTCTCGTGCCTCTATTTTTCCCCCAAAACAAGTCATAGAAGCCCTTTTTCCCTGAAACAAGTCATATTCCCTAAGATGGATAATAAAAATTATGATCAGTCTCCCACATAAAATTTTTAAAATGTTTTTATTTCACTTTGTTTTTTACATTCAATCACATTATTTAGCTTACAAACTGAATATTTCAACATGTGAATATTTCTCCCTATTCCAGTTGATAAAGCTATAAAAGTATCTTCAACAGCCACTCTTTACCTTCTCCCTTCTCTTTTGAAGACCCCTTTTCCAGAAGGGTTCAGCCTCTTATCTGAAAGTCTACACAGAGAGGCCAAGAAGAATCTAAACAATTCTTCCTGGGTTTCCCCAACCCCTCCTCAGACTATTTCCATTAGACCATATCCTTTGATCCAATGACATTCTAAGATGGCTGTCCATTCTTCCTTGAACCTAAGCATAAAAATAGACAATTTTTCCTAATCTTTGATTTTCAATCTTAAAGACTCCTGTTTCATGCAAAATTGTGATTAAATAAGCATAGGCTTTTTCTATTTTCAACCTGGCTCTTATTAAAGGCATGTTAGCTGTGACCCTTATCAGGAGTGAAGAAGTTATTACACCTTTTTTCTAGATGATTTCTAGGAAGACTTTTATAAGATTAGCATCAATCTATGCAAAAAAATATATATAACAATTTCTCCTGTGTATTCAAAATTGTTGAATGCCCAAGAAACACCTTGTTTGTAGTTGATAGCATTTATAAAAGGAAAGAAATATGCTAAATTTTTAATTTACTCAGTATGCTTTTTATATGAATTTATACCTTTCTATATACTCTCCTCAACTCTGGGTCCTTGAAAAGACACACAAGAAAACTAAATGAGAAAAAAAAAATGTTATGCGAATATATTATTGCAGGACTGGATTAAAGAATGTGTTACGGTTTTCTATATTTCTCCCTGACCCTAGACCTCAATATTTCTTCTTTCTGCATGTCCTTTATCTGCTCCTCAGAGGGCAGGCCAGGAAGCTAGAGGATTCTGAGCTGCCGAAGACGATCCTACAATATCTGGTATCTGAATGGAGAGGTCAAGTGTCTGGCACACCTGAGCACACACAGTTTCAGGAATTGCAACACAAGAAAAAAATCTGTAAGAGCCACCAGAAAGTTTGCACTCAGTACCTAAGATACAGTTATTTCAGTAGCATTAGGAGTTAAGTCAGAGGGTACAGTTGTTATGAATCAGTATTTCCTAAACATAGTTGACTATGAGAATTATCTGGAGTATGATTAAATATCGGATGCAAGCCCTCTCTCTAGAGATTCTGTGTCAGAATATTTGGATTGGAAGTTGAGAATTTTCAAATTTACTTCTCATCAGTTTCCAGGTAAGTCTTGCATATAGGCAAATGTTTGAACCAGTGTTAAATTGTTAAGAGGAAAAGCCCTACCAGTGACAATAATGAAGGAACCAATAGCTGTTCAGTCCCATATTGTGCAAGACTGTGTAAAGTTCTTTACTTCCTTTTATTAAATGATTACTCATTTTATAAACAAAGCAACTGAGGCACAGAGAAATTAAATTAGCTGAAAGTGTCAAAGCAAGGAAGTAGCAGAACCAAAACTCACACTCTGTTCATCTCTTTCTGTTTTCTAGATATACTTTAAATTGTGCCACAATCAATTGCTTTTATAAAACTAGATAAAGGATACTATTTTAAAAAAGAAAATTTCCTTTTAGTTTGGCTATGTTTAATGCCTTTGCTTTATAAATATACCTAGATTCTTGAAATTGAAAGCTCCTGTAGTCCTAGGAAGAAACTCAGTGATGTCGATTATCTGTGGAAAGGTTTCATCATGTATATGGGAAAGGTCTCATTGTGTATATTGAAAACCCCATCATTTGTTTCCACGCTGGGCTGAAGCAGTGTGATTTTCTCACTGGCAGGCCATTCATCACTTCCCATTGGCCATCAATAATTGATTAGTGAGATTGGATTCAGCACAATGCAGATCAGCCCATGTTATCAGCCTGGAGTGCAATTTGTGTCAACGTGTAACCCTTTAATCTCTCTGCTTATTCACCTCGATAGACTGACTGTCTGAGGATTTTCACTTGCTTCTTTTGTATCAGAAAAGAAAGGAAAAATTGGGAAAACATG